AGTTGCACCTCCTGATCTAAAAGTGCCATTATCCTTCAGATTGCACATCTCTTTACATGTTGTGATTCATTCATAACTCTAAGCACCAAAATGCATAAAAATGTGTATTTTAGGATACTGGAAATTCATGTTTAAAATACATGTATTTAATTAGATTATTTAAGGTGATTTTTGAATGACACATGCAAAATTGACACATATTTGAAATAGACTGATCCAGTCCCATAGACTGAGCCATTCCCAGTGCACACACAGAGACAATGTATGGGCTGCCTCATTAGTGCAAATTAAAGGCAGTTTAATAGGATGATGTGATAATGTTATGGGGACCCCTAAGGGTGGGAGGGGAAGTTTCATTTTTTAAATGAACTCTTAACTGTTTTGTATGTTGATTGCTACTGGGCTAAGGGCCAATGCAGATGCCACTCACACATTTAGCAGTTGCGTAGATGGATTTTAGAAAATAAATAAATAACAGGTGCAGGAGGGCTGATCTGGATTCAATTTCATTTATTATTTGTATACTGCCTTACATTACAGAACTCAAAGCTGGTTATAGCCTTAGAAATAGCAAACTACACAATAAAAATTGCACTGTCACCTTCCTATAACTACTCTAAATATCCTTTTAAAAACACAAATTGATGACAATTAATTCTAGGAACAGTATTTTAAGATAATTCCAACAAAATGTCAGCAAATAATAATTCAAGAACACCCCCATCAGCTACAACAAATTTAATAATTGCAAATAAGCATGCCTGCAAAAGTATAATAGTCAAAATATTAGCGAGCATGCAACAAGAACAACTGAGCAGCTAGGTCATGTCTCTCCCTTCCCTGTTCTGTGGAACCTGTCCACTGGAGAAGGGGAAGAAATTTAGTTTGGTTCATAATTTAACATGGATATTCACACTTCCTGAAACAACACATAAACTGAGACACAGCTATGCTTCAAAATTTAGACTACCCTAGAATTTGGAATGCAGTTGTCCAACCAAATTACATGTACACAAATGTATGTGGTACATATTAGGAGAAAGTGTCTATAAGTGTGCAGGTATTAGTATTGTGTTTTTAATATTCGATTGGGAGCCACCCAGAGTGGCTGGGGAAACCCAGCCAGATGGGCGGGGTATAAATAATACATTATTATTATATATATTATTACAAAATAACATGCCAAAGTGTACTTTAATAGGGTAACTGCTCGCCAAAAGCTGTATATTGGGTAAAAGACACACAGCTAAATGAATACACAAAAAGGTGTATATTAGGAGAAAATACTGCTGAATTTTCATGATGAGTTTTTAAGGAACAAATTGCAATTTGCAAACTGATGCAGAAATGTGAAGTAAACTTAAAATTGTACGAATGAAAATAACTGAGATAAACTAAAATTGGCATTTTCATCCATCTCTATTGCACTCCCAGAAGTGGGATGGTGATAACCACACCCACCTATAATTCACTTTCACGCTAAGAACCCAACATTGAAGGTTGAGATTATATTGAGTTAGCTCTGCAGGTCTTGTTGCCATAGCATCAACTGCCCCAGTCTCTACTCACAGATTCCAAATCTGGGAGACGACTGGAGTGAAGCCAAAGTGTTTAAACCCCTCCCACCTCCCACCAAGGTAGCAATCTAGAATGGGCCCTCGTACCTGTGAGGTCAATAAGATACCTTGCTAAGATACCTTGGTAGTTAGTGAGGAAAGAGTTCCAGTTCAGATGTAATACTAAGCCAAACATTGACCTTGCTTTGCATGGTATGGCAGCAAAAAGGATTGGGGAGGGGCAACAAAGTTTAAGAGCTCCTCTTCGAGCCTAAAGCTGGATGGAAGAAGATAGTATGCTTGTGTACTGCGATGCAGATCCTACTGTTGCTCTAGAGCAGGGATGTCCAACAGGTCAATCGCGATCTACTGGTAGATCCTCGGGAGGTTTTGGAAGATCGTGGTTGATCGCTGGCTCGCTTTCATTAGCACTGGTAAAATTGAAACTGGCCCTGCCCTCCATTGTTGCATGATCTGCAGAACGGAAGACAGAGTTTGCTCACTGAGGTTGTTTGTTTCCCCAGTAATTTGTTGGTGAGCGGCTGTTCCTCTTTCTCCCCCAAAACCCTTAAAAACGGGGCTTTCCTTCCCAAACAAGGTCAACAACCTTGACTTGAACCCCCCCACCCAAAAATGGGGGTAGATCACTGCCAGTTTTTTATTCTGTAAGTAGATCACAGTCTCTTGGGAGTTGACCACCCCTGCTCTAGAGAAATGACAGCAGGCTTTAAAATGTTCTAAGTTAAAAATGTTGTTGCTTTGTTGTTGTTGTTTAGTCGTTTAGTCGTGTCCAACTCTTCGTGACCCCATGGACCAGAGCACGCCAGGCACTCCTATCTTCCACTGCCTCCCGCAGTTTGGTCAGACTCATGTTTGTAGCTTCGAGAATGCTGTCCAACCATCTTGTCCTCTGTCGTCCCCTTCTTCTTGTGCCCTCCATCTTTCCCAACATCAGGGTCTTTTCCAGGGAGTCTTCTCTTCTCATGAGGTGGCCAAAGTATTGGAGCCTCAACTTCACGATCTGGATTAGTACCTCCTAATTTTGAAGTCTAGCAAAACAAATGGCTACACCTTCTGCATCTGCCAACAGGGCAAAGGTGGTGTGAGACAGCAACAGCCAGCAAATGAGGAAGTCCTGTCTTATGTGGGATTAACATTTTATGCATCCCTGTCTGGGCTGTGATTATTTCCTAGCTGGCATGGGCTTCATTCAACCAGCAGTTTACCTCTCTGAGACTTCCCTAGCTGCTGATTTTTGCATTATATCTGAACTTTAGTTCAGCTTAAGAGCCACTTCCAGAAATGTAGTGGAATGCAGCACATAATTAGCACTCATTTCCACATTGTCTGAGTCCAGAAAATACATTTGCAACCCCCTTTAACTTGGAAAATCATGGGAGTAAAGTGATTATATCTGAGGCATTATATTGCCATACTGTTCTTTTCTGTTTTCATGTGGGGTGGGGAATCATGGAGGAACAGAAGCACAGATATGCAGAAAGGGTAAAGGAATAGTGATGTTGTCCAATAATGTTCATTGTAATGTCACGCCACTGGCATGAGTGAAATATAGTGCAACATGCCGGTACACTGGAACAAAAAACCACAGTTCCACAACACCTCTGCTGTGTCCCAGAAATTCTTCAGCAAAGTGGCCATTGGAACATCTAAGAACTGGGAGGGAGGCATGTAACATTGTTGCTCCCCCAGCACCTCCTGCATCTGCCAGCAGGAGTGGGGCTTGAGAAAGATCAGCATCAGCCACCGAGTGAGGAGGTCTTCACCTGTGTATGGCTAACATGTAGCTGCTTCAGCCATCAGTCTGAGGCCAAGAAATGAGGCCATCAGTTTGAGGCCAGCTGCAGAATGGAATTTATTGGAACATTAGAGAACAATGGGAGGATGGACTTATATACACATTTCCCCTGCTACAGTGACCATTGTAACATTGTCTATTTCATTGCATTTTAAATATATTGTAAGCTACCTTGTGAACTTTGGTTAGTAGATAGGGTATAAATACTCCTAAATAAAGTAAATAAATGTTTGTGTGGTGTGACCATGCTAAGGTTTATCTTAGGATGTCGTACAGGCCAGCTCATTTGCTTGCAACATATGAAGGGTCCTGTGGTCCTTTTGGGAAAGAGTCCATGAGGACTGGTACCACAACTGAAAATGCTGGGTTTCTTCATCCGTTTGTCTCTCTTTTACAGCTCTGATGGGCTGCAAGCCCTTTATCCTGTGTGCAATGTGGAGAAGGAAGTATAAAATATTTACCGAGGTTTTAGAACATTGTGCACTTTGGACCTAGATTTTCACTTTGCAGAATGAATCAAACACAATATCTATAATGAAGGTATGAAGGAAGGGAATAAGAGAAAGATGATTTCAGAATGTTAATGGCACAGCTGTGCTTTCCTGGCCCACATTTCATTTTCCTAAATCACAATAACAGGAGCTCGACTATGGGGGGCAAGCTAAAAGATTAATGAGTCGGTTATTACCACTGTTACTGCTGGTTACCAGAGTAATGTCATAAAGACCACAATACTATGATATATTGCTTTGCACCATTCTGTATCTGCTTGCCCATGGGGCATGGTGAATTTTAAGCCCATATACATCCCATGGCATGCTGCCTGAGCATATATATATTACACCTCTAAAACAAGTCCAGTTATCACAATAAAACTCTTCCTCCAGACAGCCTGATTATAGGAGAGACAGCTAGTGGGCACAACTGTGATCCTAATCTAAATGATGCATACCAACAGTGAAGTAGGGCAACACTTTAGGGAAGGGGTGGGGGCCACAATGCAGCCATCCAAGGCTCTTTATCCGGCTCTCAGGACTCTCCGTAGGCCACACCCCTTGCCAACCCTGTTTGTACCCTCACTGAGTGCTTATGCCTCTCTGGCAGGGGTGCCAACGTGGATAAAATATGAGGGGGCAGGTAAGCTCCGCCCCACATAATTGATCACATGACTCGGTGCACACACTCCATTTGAATGGCAGTGCCCATCAACTTGGGGGGGGGGGTGGACTGGCTCCTTCAAATATTTTATTGGGGGGCTGAAATCCCCTCGGCCCCTAGGAGTTGGTGCCTATGCTGTCTGGGTTATACCCTCTGGATAATTGCTTCTTACTTGCCTGGGTTGATGGAGGAGAGGCCTGTGCAAATGTGTGTTGAAACAAAGGCACCCATTCATATTCATGTCTCTGCCTACTTTTTCTCTGGCCATGTCATCCACTGGCATGTGGATACCAGAAAGTTGTCTAGAGGTGTGACCTGAATCAAATTTCTTTCCCCCACTCCCTGTTGATGATATTTTGGGCCTATATCTTGTACTACAGATTGCTGCACATATTCAAATTAGCCCCATAATTAGCCCCATTCTGTTAAATTGCTGTTCCTGTTTGGACTTTTTCTTTTTCTTTTCTTTTGGTGGATGCTTTTTAAAAATCCTGTACATGTGAGCACTGCCATTCTTCAGGGCTCAGCTTCCGCCTTGGCAGCAATTTCTTGTTGTGGCCTCTTCCACCTCTGAATGCTGACCCTGGAGACCTCAAGCTGGTGGACAAATGCTTCAAGTCTACAGTCAGCTACGCCCACTCCTGGACTCGGTGAGGCCCTGGCGCATGGAAGGGTCAAGCAGCAATGACACAAACAGTTTGTTTAATGTGCTTTCAACTTCTTGCTCCTGCTGATGAAGGAGCTGAAGAGAAGGGGAAGCTGAAATATGCTGTCCTAGACACAAGACAAGTAGATATCCGGGTTGTGGCTTAGGGTTTTAGATCTTCTGATAGGGCAGCTGGATTGAAATGAAAGGATTATACTACTTTTTTCTGCTTTAGCATTTTAACTGCGAATCCAGATGTTTGTTTTGAAATGCAGTCATCGCCATCGTTGTCGCTGTTATATTTTTGCACCATAAAGATATTTATATTTTGAAAGGCACCTTTAATAGCTCTTAAATAAAGCTATATAATGTTTGATGCAAATCTAAGAATTTGTACAGTAAATAACATATTTATTTAAATAATGAATATATATGTATATGTGTATTTGTCTGTATATGTTTGAATATAGGCAGCCATTCCATCAGGGTGCAGAAGAGAGTGAGATGCCATTTAAATTTCCAACATAGCAATACTAAAATGTAGACATTGTGGAAGAAAACCTCCTAACATTGCTCAGAATGCTGCTGCTGTTCCCCATTAGATCTGTTAGGTAAATGGGACTCTGCCCCACCAACCTCAACCAGCCTTCACATGCCTCCCTTCTTACTTGATACTGACTTAGCTGCCTACCAGTTTTTTCTTCTCAGTTCAGTTTTACTCTTCCTGAACTGAGCTGGAAGGAGGTGTGGGCAGAGCTAAAATTAGTTGGGTCTGCCTGTCATTGGCTCTGGTTCCACCTTCTTTTGGCCCCTCTGCCTTCCACCCTACCAGCCCCAGTGGGCACCAGCCACCTTTGCCTGAAATGACTCCTTTGCCCTACATGGTATACCATTTATTTGCTTTGCTTTGCTTTTAAATGTAAATTACCTGGGGGACCTTCATGGAAAGGTGGTGTGTAAATGTGGACAATCAATCACAATGTAGATTAAACCTCCTTAATACTTTGAAAAAGAAAAGAAAGTAGCTTCAATGGGAGAAAATTTAGAAACAGAAACACCATTAGGGAGTGGATACACTGGAAAGGACTGGCTCACTGGTGAAGCACCTGCTTTGCATGCAGAATATCCCAGGTTCAATCCCCCACCTCTCTAGGCAGGGCTGTCTAAAGTATGACTTAATACTGAGCCAGATGGACCTATGTCAGTTTCCTATCATCATATTTAAACCAGTTCTTTTTTCTATTCAGAACCGAAAGGACTGGACATCATTTATGTAGGTAGAAGGAACACAGTTCAGTTGTAGCGCACATGCTCAGCATGCAGAAAGTTCAATCCCTGGCACCACCAGACAGGGCAGTAGAAAGAATCCTGCCTGAAAATCTGGGGAGCCGTTACCAGTACTGCAGACAAAACTGAGCTAGATGGGTCAATGCAATCTGAATGGTAAAGCAGATTCGTATGTGCCAATGTATCTTGCTTTCCACATCCAACACTACTCGGCCCCAAAATACCCAAGCTGCTGTCTGCTTACCCCAAACACACACACACAGAGGTGTGAAATAGTGCGAAGTGATGGACATGGGAAAAGTTAAGCACCTCCTCCTAAATCTGTCTTTTCCTTTACAGAAAATGGGAAGTGGTGCTTAGTTAACCGCATGTAAAGTTTATTTATGCCCTCACTGAGCTATGCCAAGAGAGGAATAAACTTGAATCGGCACAGGCAGAGCCCTTCTTGGGTTTTCTGATTGCACGAGGCATATAACATAATTTACTCCATAAGTGAGTTGGCAGAACTTCTTTCTAATCTCATTTTCCTAACCAAGGGTCATCGAGTTTGTAATCTAATCTTCTTCTAGTTTGAGATGCCAGCAATTGAAAAATGACAGTGATATGTCATCGTCATACACAATAGCTGCAGACTTTTAATAACACTAAACCTACTTCTACAGCTCGCGGTTCTCCATAGGTATGTGGAGTCATATTTGTTGTTCTTCTTCATTATGCTTGGAATATAAAAAAAGGAAGCTTAAACAGGCATAAACACAAATCCATCTTCCATTTTAAAGCAATTTCACGCGCTTGTCTCAAACAGTATAAGTCCTCGGCAAGAATCTGGCACAAGGAATCTAACAAGTGTGGGGAAACAGTAGTCCCGCGGCTCTTGCAGGGCTACAACTACTCTGACCATTAGCTGGGATTGGTGAGAGTTTGGAGAGTCACAAGTCCCCCACTTCTGAAATATAAAGTTACATTTTTCATTGGGTCAAACAACACACACAGCACTGTTTTCACTCTGCTGCAGTTTGTCCTCTGCCAAAAACTACATTATCATGCTGCTGTCCACTGTGATGAAATAAAGAAACTCAATCACATAATTAATTGTGTAAATTACATTATTACATTATTCAACACAACACATATTTCATTGTGAAGTAAACACAATGAAAATTGGGGAAAATATAATCAGTTATGTATCATTTGTGGACTGAAAGCAGCAGCAACAGTAACTACTGATTTCCATTCCAGACAGGATGGATAAGCAATTTCTGCTCCTATGTCCTTTAAATAAAAAATAAAATCTCTGGCATCCCTGCTGCTAGTAGATGTTGAAGTTAATATGAAGTCTCACCCTTTCTCTTGAACAGTTCAGTTGGATATCATTGCAGGATCTAATTTTATTATTATTTCTATTATTTATTACATATATATCCTGCCCTTCATCCCAAAGGAGCCCAAGGCAGCAAACACATCAGTGATAAAATAATACAATTAAACATAAAATTAAAAAACATTTAAAATATTTAGAACAATTTTAAAACAATTAAAAACAACTGCATATGCTCAGAGGTGATTATTATAAGCTTACCAGGAACACTATCTTTCAGTCATCAAATGCCTGGGTGAAACAGTAATGTTTTTATATTTCTCCCCAAAATTAATAAAGTCTTACATATGCCAATGTTCCTTGCTGCCCTGGCCTCCCTTGGGAGGAAGGACAGAATATAAGCTTAATTAAAAAATAAAAAATTAATAAATGTCAATGTGAATATTTACCCCTTCTCTGAAATCACCCAGATGCTAAATTCTTACAGGATCTGATCCTGTGCCTCACCTGACTGATGCAATTGAATGAGAAGTAATTGGAGGAACATCCTATTTTCAGCCTGGATGCTGCTGGAAATCACTGAAGTCAACAATATTGAGAAAGAAAAAGAGACTAGCAGTTGCTATCTGTTCACACATCCCTGGGCCAAGAGTAGCTCCACACTGGGAGAGGGTAAGGAAGAAAAATGGACCAGCACAGGCCAGGCCAGGCAGTAAAAGTTGTAAGAGGACACAAGTGCAGAGGGCCAAACTTAGCTAGGTTAAAACATTCAACCAGCAACTGTGTGAACCAAATCTGCAGAACAACACAGATAATATATTGAGTGAACTGGGGCAGGTGATCCTCAATATAATGTAAAGGTCCAGATTATGTTGTCTTGCTGCATAGTTTTGAGGGGTAATGACTCCCATGAACCAACCCTCCCAACACATAATCAGCCTTTCATTTGGACTGTCAAACTCACACTGGAGTCTATCTGCCTAAGGAATAATATTGTTTTGCTCTTCCAGTTACACTTCTACAGTACACCTCTGGCTGAATTCATGACCCAGGGTTTTGCTCCTGTGAAACAGCAGGCCTTACATAGCCCTAGGTACAAATGAATTTGATAGCCTGACCTGAAAGCTTTTAAAGGGACTTTCAACATGCAAGACAGGTTAACTACCTTGTTAAGCAGCCTTCCATTGGCCAATGCTTCAAGGAGTTACATAGACTGAGTCAACCATCTGATGTCCTCCAGGTTTTGTACTCTTAGTGGGTATGTCCTTATAATAGTGATAACTCACATTAATATGAAATGGGAAGAGTTAATGATTAAGGCTTTTTCTGTGAACAGAAAGCCCTACTTTTGAGGTCCCTCACTGGGGAGGGAAAGATTGATCCCACACTTGCATCCACTGACAATATTACACCTAACATAACAACTTTGGATCCTCATTATTTTTTGCTTAGGTAAAAGGTCAGATTAGGACTGCCAGCTGTGAAGAAGCTAGCTTTAGTAGATGATCTAAAACAGAGAATTTTGAAGGGTTCCGCTGATTGGGCAGAGGTGAGAAAAATGGGAGAGCTTCCATCAAAAGTTTTCTAAAGCATAATTCTGAAATGAAAGTGAAAGCTTTTGCTTGGAAGGGACAACCAAAGGGATGTGAGACAAGGATACTATTTTTAATAGGACCAGTTCCACACCCCAATAAAGCTGCACTGTTGGCTTTCATTCTTCTACCCAGCTGTTGATAGAACATGAGCTATGTCAATCTCAATAATCACTGCACAATTATAGCAGTGTAACACCATTTGAAACAGCCAACATTCTGGGAAATGTAGTTTTTTAAAAAAATATGCTGAGGTTTTCTAGTGTATGCTAAGAGTTGTTAGGAGACCCCTTATTCCCACAGTTCCCTTGGAAGAAGAATTGACAGTTTTGCGGCTCTCAGCACAACTCTCAGCACCCTTAAAAAAAAATAAATCCTCAGTATGTTTAAATTGATATTATATTGCCTTAAATCTATAGTGCAAATGGGAACTAAGAGTCAGAAATTATCTCTTCCTCCTTGAACCCAACTCATTGCACTTTCACCAGCTGTGAGCTATTAAACAGAACTCATTATTATATTTCCTGACACACACACACACACAATCATGTGGCTTTGTGGTAAGCAAATACTAGTGGAAATTTGTTTGTTTTTAATGACATCTAATGATTGTGTAATTATCCGCATACCAAGGAATGGCTTGCCATTTGTCTTTCTGGCCCTTTGCTTTGCTTTGCCTCGCCTTTCCTGGGCTGCAGCTATTATAATAAAGGGTTTATAGGGAAAGAGTTTAATTTAAGCAAGCATTCCTCCCAGGAACTATAAACCATGTTAACTTCTAGTGAAAAATATTCTCCTTGGGCCCAATCTAGCAATGCCTTTGCGCACACTAGTCCCAAGCTTTTAAGTTTGTTGCACCTGTGGGATGTACCATTTTAAGAAACAAGGCGTTCTGAAAATCAATGCTGAAAATTGTCTTTTGCATTTGTCTTAAATTTACTGTCAATTCCCTTGTGGTGTGGAAGGGGGAAAGCCCACAAAAGATCTTGGCTCAAAAAGGCAGCAAGCAGTAACACACTGGTCCCTACCTGGCCTTCATGAGGGAGAGAATTAAGATGTGTGCAGACTTCACTTTGTTCATCTTCCCAACATTTCTTTACAGGTCACTTTTTGTGCTTTATGTGATCTTTCCCACAACATAAAAGCCACTTCTGGAAATCTAGTGGAATCCAGCAGAAGTTTATCACTCATTTCTGTGTTTATTGCTTTCTGAAAACAATCTGTTTGCAATCCCATTAGCTCAGGAAATTGTGGAAGTTTTGCATTGTGATTTCCCTGTGGTTTTGTTGATCATGCCACCGCTGCTCATGTGATGAAATTCAGGGTGGTATCCTGGTGTACAGTTCTTTCCTTCCATTTAAAATTGAGTGTAACATGGCAGTATATTAATAAAAAAAACCACAGTTCCATAATGCAATGGCTACTGCAATGTAAAAAGAACATTGGAAATTGGGACAGAAGCACTAGCATTTTAATTGGGAAAGCAAACACAATATTCTCCACACCTATATGAAACCTTAGACACACTCCTAGCTATGTCTAAATTTATTCCTGGTTTTAAGTTTTCTACCGGAAAGCAACAAAACCCTACAAAGTAAATTTTAAAGCTGATTTTAACATCCCTGCTTTTAGCTGCCTTTTCCTAAACCCTTGTTGTTGTTGTTCTAGAGAGCTATGTTACACAGTATAGTTCTAGTAGCTGGTACATTATTTTTTGTTGCCTGTTTTAACTGTCCTTTAAAAAATAACTATAAATGTTATTGTCTTTGTCAGTTTTGATTATTTTTAGATTGGCTTTATCTACTTTGTTTTTATGATACTGTGATATTAGTTGGGTGGCCTCCAAAGCAGGATATTAATCATTATGAGAGCAAATGAATAAGAAACCAAAGGAATAAACAAACACCTGGGCTTTGAGGGCAAATCTGTTACTTCCAAGTAACAACCTTGATTTCATATACATATGAAAGCCTTTTAGGCAGGATGGCCAGTTGTGCATAAGATAACAGAGATCCCCCCTCCCCCCCAAAAAAGAATCAGCATATTTAGATGCATAGATGTACATTTAAAAATAGTTACTAACTTAAATAGAAATATAATCTGTTTCTATGGTCAAAAAGGAATGTTTGAAACAACTTATGGATGATGCTTCAAGTACAGCACATGTTCATAAGTTTCAGTTGATGGTTATATTTAGAATCCCTGTTGGCTTGTGTGGAAGGGAGATCACCAGGCCTGGCCTACCCATGATGCAAGGTGAGCAAACACCTCAGGCATATGGAGCCCCAGGGGCAGCAGATTTCAATGACAATTTTTCTCCCTCCCTCTTGTTCCTGATGTAGATCTTTCCTCACTCCTTCTTCCCTGGTGAGGCGAGGAGGCACCACTTTGTGGTTTGCCTCAGGTGCCAAGATGGGTCCTGCAGATCACAACCCACAACTGGAACTTAGCAAAGAAGTTTTTGGCACAGATCAGTGTTGAGCCCTTCAATTATCCATGGTGCCCTGCATGTTATTGATGCAAACTATGAAGAGAGCACTCCATTTTCTGTGTCGCTGATAAATTTCCTTTAGAGACTCCTGTAGGCATTTTTTCCCCCATGATATATATTGTGACTAACTATTTGGTTTATTGCCTCAGGTAAGAAATCACAGTTCTGTGTTGAAATGAAACAAACATGTGAATCTCGTGCTTGGTGGTGTGTTTTTGTTAAATGGTTCACCTATGTACAATTATCAGTTGGACATTCTCGTCCATGTAGTAACAGTGCTTTCAGACAAGCAAAAATGACAGCTATTAAATGAGATCTGCTATTCAGAAATTATACCATGGTGGCAAATGAAACCCTGCCAAAATATAGCATAAGACCTACAACAAATTGTTGCAGTGTTTCCTAGCATGGAGTGTTATGGCTCAATGAAGCCAATGAGGGAGAAATTTGATTCAGTTCACATTCAAAATGTGAACTGAGAGGCCTAGTTTGCACTTCTCAAAATAATATGTGAACTGTGTTAGTCTTCAAAATTTGCACTTATCTGAATTTTGTGATGAAGTTTCCCAACCAAACAATGTTTACAAAAACATATGTGGTTGGGGAAATTGTGCATAAAAATGAGTATTTTGGAGGGGACATACAAAAATACAATATATTAGAGTCAATTGCTTGCGGGAGAAAATGTATATTAGGCAAAATTGCATACAAAAATGTGTATATTGGGAGAAATTTACACTACAAATGCTGATGAATTTTCATGGGAACCTTTTTTAAGGGGGGGTCCAAACTGGTGGAAAACTGAACTTAAGTCTGGGGGGGGGTGAGAAAGGCTTAGAAAAAGGAGCAAATCCTCCCCCCTCCAAATAATGCCTTAGGACTGTACTGAATTCTTGCCACGCTTTGAAACAATGGCAGCTGAGCTGAGCCACCTCAATAAAAATAAGTAAATCCTTCCCTACCCAAAAGCACTATGACTTTCACACAAACAACCCCAAAACTTCATTTCTATCATTCAGTTTATGAATTGCTTCCTAGGAAAGACATCTCAAAGCTATTTGACAAAAAGAAAAACACCAAGAATTTTTTTTAAAGCAATTTCATATATATGTACGTATATAATCAGGCCCCCTGGCCTGAACCATAAATTATGTCTCCATTCTCTGTCCTCATAAGTTCCTTGGTTCTCGATCTCTTGACATCTGTACCAATGGCACAGAAGCAATTATCACTTTAAGCTCATAGCCTCATTGCAGGTTTGCAATGTAAGGACTTGCCTCGGCTAAACACCACTCTTTTCCCCTGTAGCTTTTAAATGCCCATGTGGCCTATTTGGGTCAAGACTTGGCCACCCTCACACATAATAAAATTAAAGGGAACATCCCAGTGATTGCATGTGAATTTCATAACTTAATTTAACAGGATACTCAAGGAGAGATCTGCCCTCATGGCCCAATCGCTGTTATTACAAAATGGGGCACATTCATTCATTCGCTCAAAGCAGCTGTACATGTGCTTATTAGTGGGAAATGGTTATTTGAGCAGGTCCCTCTGTTCTCAATTATGATTTATGATCTGACTATAAAAATGAAAGCTGATTTGCATAAACATCTGTAATTGCTGCTTTGGCTCCATTGTGGAGCACGTTACCTCATCGTTGCTTTGGTGAGAACTGTTGAACAGCAGTGCTCTTCAGCTAGGAATGAGGTGAAAGAGATAATTACATTTTCATAGAGTTCTCAACTGATGAATCCCCTTCAAGACACTTCACCTCAGTGCTGTTATTCCAACCACTGGAGTAGAAGTGAGCGTCAAAGAAAGAGGAAGCAGGAATAGAACCTTAAGCCAAATGCCAACATCTGTATGGTTGAAGGCAGAGTGAGCTAGACAATACAGGTGGCAAATGAGGTAACCAACCAGGAAGCAAGTGTGGGAGAAACAAATGGCAAGAAAGACATCACAAGGATGTTCTGGAGGCACAGAGGAGCATCTGAGTGGCTTCTTTCATCATCCAGTCTGAGGGACTACAAACAAGCTTTGAAGATACATGACATAGGATGGGCTACAAGTCACATGGCTTGAGAATCATAAGCTTTCTGGCCTGTAGCAAAGGTT